GTCCCTCCCTCTTTCCCTCTCTCCCTCCTCCTCCCTCTCCCTCCTCCCTCTCTCCCCCCTCCCCTCACCCTCTCTCTCCTTGTCCCTCCCTCTTTCCCTCTCTCCCTCCTCCTCCCTCTCCCTCCTCCCTCTCTCCCCCCTCCCCTCACCCTCTCTCTCCTTGTCCCTCCCTCTTTCCCTCTCTCCCTCCTCCTCCCTCTCCCTCCTCCCTCTCTCCCCCCTCCCCTCACCCTCTCTCTCCTTGTCCCTCCCTCTTTCCCTCTCTCCCTCCTCCTCCCTCTCCCTCCTCCCTATCCTCCCTCTCTTTCCCTCTTTCCTTCTCCCTCCCTCTCCTTCTGTACTTCCCTCCCATATGCACATGCTTGTGGAAACTATGGATTCTAATTTTCAATGTACTCTTCTGCCTTTTATGTTGATGTATGAATTCCAAGTATTTTGTTTTCTGCATCTCATCAAATAAGTACTTATCTTAGTTTCATGTATTTCCGTTTTTGTTTTTTTTATGGTTTAAATTAAAACTTTCACGACCCTTGGGGTGGCCTATCTAATGCGGAGTCCTCCTGTAACAGATCTTTTTGTTACAAAAACAAGAAGGGGTCCCCGCTATATTAAAAAAAGTTTTATTATATAAAGCAGCCAAGCAACCTTATCTTCAGAAATGTTGAGCCCTCCAGTATTTGCTCTGGATCACAGTTATGTTCTTTCTCTTGATTCCTCTTGTCTCAGTGGCAACGAATTCTCGCTGAATCAGTAGACCAGGAGCAGAATTTGTTCATGTATGTAAGAGAAATCCTGTTATTTTTCTAACAGCCTGAATTTTACAGGGATACCTATAGTGACAGAAGTGGAAGTAGTTCCCCCGATTCCGAGATCACAGAACTGAAATTTACTGCAGTGAATCATGAGTAAACTGCTGGTAAAATCTTATATTTCATTTTCTGGGGTTTTTTAAATGGTTTCTTTCCCAGTTTGCTGGGAGCAGGGGATGGTGGTGGTGTCAAAATTAACCAGGTTAAAAGAGTATTTTCAAAATACGATCAATTTGACATGTAGTAGTAGTTGTAGTTTATTCAATTGGGCGGCTAACAACCAAGGGGGGAAGGGGATACAAATAGGACAAAAGACAGACAGATTAAAACAACAACAACAGTCGCAACATTTCAAGTGGGGCTGGAAATTCATCTGCCCCAGGCCTGCCGGAACAACCAGGTCTTAGTGGCTTTGCGGAAAGCCACATAAATAAAGCCACATAAATATTTCTGATCTTCCTCTTTTTCTCTCTCTTCATCTCAACCTACCCCACCCTCCAGGTGTTTGGAAATTCTTCACTGGACAACCCTACGTCCTGAGGATTTTGTAGATCATGTTATTATCATTATTTTTTTTACTTTTGGAAACATCTTGTCATTACTTTTTTTTAAAAGAAAGTATTCCGAGAAACTGGCCGTGCTGCTTAGCTGTGCTCACCTGGGAACTTACAAACCTGAAGTGCAGAAGCTGAGGGAGGGAAGAGACATTTTGGACACGTAAGGAGGTTTAACGTCGTAATTGCTCGCAGAAGAGGCCAAGCAGAATCTCTGCTCAGGATTGTCTGATTCTTCTCCATTGTTGGAGGTGTACGTTGTATCGTTGGCAATCTCAGTGGCAAGTCGTACAAGGCAGCCTACATCACAAAGCTTCTAAAGTATTCAAAAACAAACTTGATGCTACAGCCTAACAATCCCTTAACCTTTCCCAAGAGAATAATTTTCCTGTTCCCGAGAGACTCGGTGTGTACTCTGATGCTGGAGCCCCACAGTCAAAGATCCTTTGAAAATATGAGTGTGTTAATTCCTCCCCCACCCTCTCCAAGCCATTTTACACATTGACCAGAGGAGCATGGCTTTCTTTAGTTCAGCTTCCTGAACTGATTCCTTGCATCAAGGGGGCAGGGGATGCAGTGGGGGTGCACGTGTATGAAAAAGTGACTTTTCAGAAGTTGCCTTTTGCACCTCTTATTGCGAGCTTTGCCTTGGACTAGAAAGAAGCACCGAGGGTCTTGTTTTTCGAAGTGAGACCATCACCCTACGCGGAAGGAAGAGCTCCTGTGGACGTATGGGCTGCCCTGGGCATCTGTTTTTACAAGGGGATGTATGTGTCCGGTGACACGCAGATGCAGCGCTAGGAGAGAGAAAGGACAAGCCTGCAGATGTGGGGGTTGAAGACAAACATGGTTTACGATCTTTTCCCAGTGCAGGGTTTGAAACTACATTTTCCAGCAAGTTACGCGAAACAGTGTGTTAGTGCAAACATATTGGATGTACAGATCTTTTTCAGTTCATTAAAACTTTGGGAAAACAATTGGTCTGCTCTCTCTGTTTATATAGCTTGAAAACCCTCCTCCCCATGCCCTCCCCATTTCTCTTATTTAAAGAGTGGAATTGCTTTTGAAATTACATCATTTCCTTCCTTCCTTCCTTCCTTCCTTCCTTTCCTTCCTTTCTCCCTCCCTCCCTCCCTCCCTCCTTCCCTCCCTCCCCATCTCGTTCAAAATTATATGGCCAAATACAGGTAGACCTCGACTTACGATCACAATTGGCCCAAAATTTTCTGTGTGAGACACTTATTAAGTTAGTTTTGCACCATTTTACAACTTTTCTTGCTACACGTGTTAAGCGAATCGCTGCAGTGATTACATCAGTAACACGGTTGTTAAGTGAATCTCGGCTTCCCCATTGTTTGTTGCAAAACAGGATCCCTTCCTTGACCCCAGCACACTGCAACTGTCATAAATATGAGTCAGTTGCCAAATGTTTGAATTTTGACCTCGTGACCATAGGAATGCTGCAATGGTTGTGAGGGTGAAAAGCAGTCATAAGTTCCTTTTTCTAACACCATTGTAACTTTCCACTGTTATAAGCTGAGGACTACTATCTGTACAGAATTACAAATCTGGCAGACTATAGGAGGTTGCTATTATTTTATTATATGGGTGGAAACATCCACCCATATAAATGCTGGTGGATGTCAGTTAAAGAATATTAGTCATAAGCCAAGTTTAGATTTTTAACCTGCTTGAATATCCCTAAAATCCCAGCAATAACTCCCTGTTTTTGTTTCTAAAGAGATAATTGCCTGTGGCAGTAATAGCCACATGGTGAAAACAGGCAGAGGAAAGGGCAGGTTAGAGAATGGGAACAATGGGGAAATTACCATTATACCATTAATAAAATAGTTATGAATAATGTTTTCCCACAACATGAAATACAATAATAGAATAGCAGAGTTGGAAGGGACCTTGGAGGTCTTCTAGTCCAACCCCCTGCCTAGGCAGAAAACCCNCGGGTGTAGGTATGCTGGTCTTGTTGTATTCGGATCTTTTCCCGTGTAAGATTGAGATTGTCTTGGCAACGTTTCAGCGAGGTCTCACTCGCCATTTATTTGGGAACCAGTTTGGTCTAGTGGTTTAAGGCACCAGGCTAGAAAGCAAGAGACAGTGAGTTCAAGTCTCACCATAGCCATGAAAGCCAGCTGAGGTGACTTTGATCCAGTCCTCCTCTCTCGCCTCACAGGGTTGTTATCCCCTCCCCGAGGTCAAATATAACCCTGATACGGCCCTCAATGAAATCGAGTTTGACACCCCTGGACTAGAAGATAGACTCATGCATTCTTTCTTTGGTGACCGCTTTCTAATAAAGTTTTCTGTAAGAGGAAGAAAATCACTATATCAGGAAAAGGCCAGGGGTAGGTATGGTATTAATAAGTATGCTGGTTTCAAATAAGCAAATGGCCATGTATTTTCTCTACCAATAGGAAAACTGTATGGAGATGGTGATTACTTAGAAGAAAGGCACAGACACAGATTTGAGGTATGGCTCCTTGGAGTAGAGAAAGAAAGGCAGTGGGTGGGGAAATGATCAGTGGTTGGTTTCAAAAAATTTTAGAACCTCTTCTGTAGGTGTGGCCTGCTTTGTGGGAGTGGCTTGCCGGCTATCTGACCGGGTGGGAGTGGCTTGCCAGCTATGTGATTAAGTGGGAGTGGCTTGGCAGTCGTGTGACGGTGGGTGTGGCCAACTTGTAAAATGTGGTGAAACTCGATTAACAACACTCTTGCTTAGCAACCAAAATGTTGGCTCAGGAACTCTGGCATTGAAGTGTGCAAGTCTTAAAGCTGTCAAGTTCCAAGACCCTTCCACCCCTAACCCTTTAGGAAATAAAACCCGCAGGGGTGTTCAAACTTGACAGCTTTAAGACTTTAAGGTTTAGATAAGACTCTTAGAGGCGGGCAGGGCAATTGGTGAGCCAGCCAATCAATGAGCAGTGGGTGGGGCAAACGTGGTGCGGATGGGCACGGGGCGGGAGCTGGAACCAGTTCTAAATGGCACGGTAGATTTGTGGAACCTCTTCTATAGAAGAGATTAGACGTGGCAGGAACCCAGCCCTAGAAAGGACCCTTTTTCTCCAAAGTCCAGTTAAAAACTATCACTTGGTGTCATCTTCTGTACATAGGTAAACCCGGAGCTGAAAAACGCATTCGAAGAGAAAGGTATGAAGTTTGTAGGCCAGGATGTAGAAGGAGAGCGAATGGAAGTGGTTGAATTGGAAGGTGAGCATTGATCCGTCACCAGAAGGTTTGCGAGAGACTGCCTGCTTCCAATTACCTCCCAAAGACCCATTAGATCGCACAGGGTTGGCTTCCTCCGGGTTCCATCTA